TGAGTCAAGAAGAACTGGTCGGGTTTTGAGTTAAAGTTTAAATTTGTGGTATATAAAATTATGTGTTAATATGTAGAGAGATGTATATTTAGAACTTTAAATATGATAAGGAACGAATTACTAGGATTATGTATACTGGAACGTCATGTCATGTCCCTTTTTGTTTTAATTGTTTTGTCAATAAAAATTTAAAAAAAAATAAAAAAAATAAATAAGACAATGTCATCTGATGGGTCCCAGGAAGCACTCCTTCTCCATTAATCCTCCTGTCCTCTGGAACATTGTTTTCACTAAGATTCATATGGTCCCCAACCCTACCTTACTCAAGAGTAAGAGTAAGAGTCCTTTTCTCTCAGATCTTGGGCTAATTTAGATAGAAGAATCCTCAAGAGAGCTGTTGTAGGGATATGCCAAGTCTTCTGTGTCAATTAATCTTTTATCTGTTTATTTAATATTGAATGACACCCAGAATCATTTTGAATTAGATAGCCTAAATTAAATGATATGACATGACAGGAGTCCTGGTGGCACAGTGGTTAGAATGCAGTATTGCAGCCTAATTCTATCCACAGTCTGGAGTTTGATCCTGACCGGCTCAAGGTTGACTCAGCCTTCCATCCTTCTGAGGTCGGTAAAATGAAGATCCAGATTGTTGTGGGCAATATGCAAATCATGCTTACATTGTAAAACACCTAGAGAGTGCTGTAAAGCACTATGGGATGGTATATAAGTCTAAGTGCTATTGCTATTGCTATGATGTAACATGACATTATTGAGCATGTGGTAATTATCAATTTTTTGACAGTAGCTTTTTACATAAATCTTGGGTGGTTTATTTGGGTGTTTTACTGTGATACATTTATTTCTGTTGGTGAGCAGATTTACACGGGTAATTTTTTTGTAAACATCTCTGTTCTATCCAATTCAGAGGAAATATAGTTGAATCTCTTTATAGATTTTAGTTGTTTTGAAATAAAATAATTCCTTTATACAGTTACCAAGAATGTCCTGGAAAGCTAAAATGTTCTACCTTGCTTTCAGGATATTGAGATTTTTGATGACCAATACACATGTTTACTTCCAATGAAAGATATTATATCATTTCTCGGCAGGGCTCCACTTGGTTCAATACAAGACAAACTGGCAACTCTCCATGTGTAAAAGAATAAATGAATACAGGTTTGTCATCTGCTGATGTCATTGCTGAGGTTATTTGTTCCTGTCATAGTACGGCAGAATTTGGATCTTAAGCTTTGTATGAGTCCTGTTGTTAACATATGATGCTTTAGGTAGAAATAATATAGTTCATTTTCAGTAATGATACTCATATCTCACAAGTCTTTGGTGGTAGGTATTGTAAATCAGCTACCGGTAGTTACCATCAGCAGAAACTGCCCCGTGGTTTACTGACACAGGAGCCAAATAATACAGCTGTTAACTTTGTCTCCCTATTTACCTAAGCAACACTATCTCACTGCACTTTGAAGAAAATTAACTCTCCTCAGTTTGAACAGCTTCAATTGAAGTAGAAAAAAGGAAGTAGGTAAACTTTGGGCAAACCCACAGAGAATTCCTCTTGCAGTATCACTCTCCGCAAAGAGTGAGAAAATGGGAAATAGCAGGAAAGGAAATCAGCACTTGTGAAATCGGTGAGGTCTCCAATGTACAGGGAGAAGTGAACATTTTTATTTGTGTTTTTTTTTAATGATCCCAAGTGAGTTCACACATGTGGTCTTTAAAAAGAGCGAATTTAAACCAGCTGAAGTAATATAACAAGGTTGTGAATCTCCGAGTATAAAAGTACTCTATTCAGGTGACACAAAAAGGGGAGCCATATAAATCCTGTATTTGTATGGTGCCCCCAAGGAATGTATTGGGGGCTTATCTGAATCTGATTACTGCAGAAAACAGAAGGAAACTAAATCCCAAACCAAAAGGATATATACATGAACCCCTAATTAGATGCCTGTTGAACGGGCAGGTTAAGGCAGTTCTAACCTGGAGTTGGATGTCCTGGCTAAGTCTGTGAATCTCAGCATGGTGAACTTCCTTCAGACAATCTTCTTCTTCCTGCTGTTCTTGCTGGAGCCTTGTGGTCTCCTCCATCTGCTTCTCCAGCTTTGCAGCCTTCCTTTTTTTTGCTTCATTGTGCAAATAATCTGTGTTGGCTTGTTCAAGGAGAAGGGAGAAAAGAAGAATTACATATAAGTGGCTTTCTTTTCCCTTTCCCTATCTTGGTTGTTATGCTATTGTTTTTCTCCAACATTGTTATAAAAGCCCAGTTTGTTATCCAAAGGGTTTCTGGGAACAGATACTACATACTCTATAAATGCAGGTAGTCCTTGATTTACTATCACAATTGACCCCCAAATTTCTGTTGCTAAGTAAGACATTTATTAAGTAAGTTTTGCCCAATTTTAAAATCTTTCTTGCCACACTTCTTAAGGTGAATCACTGCAGTTGTTAAGTTAGTAAAACAGTTATTAAACAAATCTGGCTTCCCCATTGACTTTGCTTGTCAGAAAGTTGCAAAAGATGATCCCATGACCCTGGGACACTGCAACCGTCATAAATATGAGTCAGTTGCCAAATGTCTGAATTTTGATCACGTGGCCATGGGGATGTCACAACGATCGTAAGTGTGAAAAACAGTCAGAAGTCACTTTTTTCAGTGCGATTGTAACTTCGAACGGTCACTAAACACACTGTTGTAAGTTGAGGACTTCCTGTACAGAAGAACATGAATTTCTGAAGAAGCATATCTGACACTGCTAGCAAGACAGCTTGTTCAGTCACACACAATGTCTAGGGTCCCTCTAGAACAGCCTGTTAAAAGCATCAGATATAAACTGAAAGTAACAAATGTTCATTTCTGTACATGCCCAATTTGCTGGCGGACCTTAAAACAAGCTACTCAGACCATTTGCAATCAGTGACAGATAGGAATATTGATCTGTCATGCGGTTAATGAGGACTTATTAATGTCATATGCAGCACAGAATATAGGAAGAGAGTTACATAAACCTGGATTCCCATGCATCTTGCCAGGGATTAAAACTTCTCAAATAATTCAGAAGGAATAAGCAAAGAATGAGCTATAGATATTGATAAGTCTTTGATCAAATCAACTGATGCCCTTGAATATAGAATTCTGTCTGGAGTACCACTTCTGACCTAACGCCATGGTGGCTTGAAATGAGATTCTTTAAAATCCCAGATGAATCCAATCAAGATTTATAAATGAACACAAAATCTGTTTGCTACAGTCCTTTTTATTATTCACCACTGTGTAAGGAACCTGGCTGAGCTGCAATAAGTGCTAAATGCTGTTCATTTAAACAACTGGAATTTGGTATTACTTCTTTGTTGGGAAAGCCATATTTGTTTAAAAGAGATTTGTTTTAGAGCAAAAGATAGGCGTAGTATAACGTGTAAGTCACATGCATTGTCATTTACTTACACTATGAACTAGTGAAAAATACTTGTTTATATTGCAATTATAAACATTCATACTCTATGAGAGCAACAACACTGTATGGATGTGTACATTATAGCTCAAGAGCTAGAAAGAAATATTGAATATAATTCTATTACATGCTTCAGCCGATGGGAATCCACTTGTCAGCAGAATGCAGAAGAATCTGTTTTCTCCTATCCAAGCACTCTTTTATGTACCCACAAAAATCTACTTTGGATGGGGGGGGAGGGAAGACCGCTCCTCCCAAGTAGATTTGTGATCCTGAATGCCTAAAGCCTTGGCTTGTTTTAACAAATGGCAGTGTGTTGCATGCAGACTGACGTTCCTTGTGTAGAAGTGCAACTTTGAGTAACAGGTTCAGCGTTTTCCTCAACTCTTGCCTTCACCTCCTCCCCAAGGTAGCTGTAAAAACTCTGCTAAGTTTTTGCAATAATAACTTTGGAGCAAACGTCCTGGATCCCATTCAACAAAGTGATTAGAATGGCCCCTCAATACAGCACACTTGATAGAACACTTGAGCGTTAGTACATGTAGCTAATAAGGCAGGGAAGGCATAAAACTCCCTCCAGAACCTAAAATTATTTAACTGTGCCAACATGTTCTGCAATGGGTCTTTAAGCATTTCTTTGAATGCCTCCCAATTTTTTAATGTCTGTTGGAAGCTCACCTCTCCCAAAGGTTGCTTATTTCCCCCAGTGATTGATTGGGTTGGAAATATCTAGGGAATTTTCAGCCAGCCCACCTGCCCAAGCTTTTGAGCATTGAGAAGTTTTAGCCTTATTTTGAATAATGTAACTAAAGTCAATAATTAAATCTATGATAAGAAATACAAGAACAGGTTACAATCATGGTCACACACAAGCCTGGATTAATATCCTACCCATATGAACTCACATGAAATCATTTTCTCAAACGGAGTTTACACCAAAATCAAATTTAGGATACACATGGGACTACAGGTAGTCCTTATCTTACAACCACAACTGAGCCCAAAATGTATGTTGCTAAGTGTAGTTTTGCCTCCTTTTATGACTTTTCTTGCCACATTTGTTAAGCAAATCACTGCAGTTGCGAAATTAGTAACACATTTGTTAAGTGGATCTGGTTTCTCCATTGACTTTGCTTGTCAGAAGGTTGCCAAAGGTGATCACATGACCCCGGGACACTGCAACTATCAAAAATGTGGATCAGTTGTCAAACATCCGAATGTAAATCACGTGACCATGGGGATGCGGCAACGGCCATAAGTGTGAAAAATGGTCATAAGTCACTTTTTTCAGTGCTATAGTAACTTCAAACGGTCACTAAATGAACTGTCATAAGTTGAGGACTACCTGTATTTTTAAGGATACCCAGCTGCTGTTACTAATTCTTTGTTGCCTTCAGACAGGTGCACCAGTCATTGTTGGAACTTTACGGTTACGTTGTAAATAACATGCGACAGAAGAGGCTCTATTAGGCTATGTCCCACTCTGTAAGAAGAGGGTTAATATATGCCAATCTCCTATGCATGCATCATTTTCTGGATCACAACAAATCAGTTGTACATTCAGCTTACTATAGATGGAGTCCATCTGCTTTCCACAAGATCCACATTTCTGTGTCCATATTAGGACAAAGTCTTTCTTAAGTCGCCATCAAGCTCATGAAAATATACAAGCTATCTCTCAGCTTCTGCGAATGCCTTATGCAAGCCTGGGATATCTAGTTTGCAGAGCTATTTATATGCAAAATGTTTAACACAGCACTTGGTATAAGATAGGCAATTCCATGCCAGATATTTCCCCAGAATTTAAGGTAGAATTTGATTTCTTTGAACCTGTGAATTATAAGTGCAACAAAAGCAACACCAGAGCAAAGTGGGAAAGGAGAATATAAGAAAAGGAAACAGTCAAAGCTGCTTCATACACAGCTTGATGAACTAAATAAAGAATAAATAGTTGCCTAAGGTTTTCTCAGCAACTTGAAGAGGTTTAAACTAATAACTTTGGAGTTGATATGTTACTAGGTCTGAAAAACCTATATTTACATCTATTTACAACCTATCTACATTATGTGGAGCAAATGTGGTTTGAACAAAATTTATTTGGTAAAATCTCTTATGCTTTATATCCATCAGGTATCAGCTAGTCATTATTCTGGTTGTATATTATTCAATCTCTCGTAATGGCCTTTAACTGGGGAAAATGGTGCATCACCGGGCAACCATTTTTAAACCAAGGTACATTAAATGGACTAACTTACAGAATGCATCCAAAATCCAGGACTCATGATTCCTGAGGGAATGATATGTGGGAATGTGGCGGCTATTTCAGTGTCCCGGGCTGCTGCTAGACTGCTATTGCAGTTGTGTGATCATTTTCAAAGTTTCATGACAGTTTTCTAGCCAATCTCACAATCCCTTGTTCCTCCCCCATTCCATGGGCAGGGAAAGGAAGGGAAAGGGAGATTTCTGATGCTCCCTGCCAGATTCCCACAAGGAAACTCAATAGGGAAGCCAGCAGGAAATCAGAAGTCACTCTCACTCCCACTGGTTGTTGTTGTTTTTTTGCCTGCCCTTGGTCATTCTGTTTCTCTGTTTGGATAAGGAAATATGACCCAAGGTCATAGGTTGTCTAGTATTCCCTAACTCCCTTCTGAAGGAAGACAGTAACCCTGCATTTCTTGATATACAGTAAAAGAGAGCTGACATTCTCTTGATGCTAAGGATATGAGAATACTTGGTATCTCAGTAAATATTTATGCATAATAGCTTCAGTTCTACAACTCACAATCCCTTATCTGTGAAACGGGTTCATTCAAGAGAAACATATATAGGGAGGAAGAGTTGGTAGACTCTTGTCATCACTTTTATTCTGCAATTCCTCCATGCTGAGTTGAGGATCCAATAAGGCTTTTGTGGGAGGAAGAATGGGGAAAAGCAGGGATATAGGCTCAATGCCATCTCCACTCTTCTATTTTTTAGCATGGAAGGAGGATATTTGAGGGCATAATATATTTGACAATCATAATATGCTGATTTATAAAAGCCCAGTTTATTCCATACTTTCCATACTTTGCAGAAATAGCTATACTTGATCATGTACTGTACAATATATTTCCCTTGTGATATTTTTCCTTAGGATTTAATTGAAGTGTGGGAAGCCATAGAGACAGCAGACCATTGGAGAGAAAATTGGATGATATACACACATCTTTAGCTACTTCGTAACTGAATAAAGACAACAATATGACACTCGTATTATCCAATTTTACCAAAATCCTCTTTGAGAACAATATTACTTTCATCAAATTGAATGAATTAGGAGGGGGAGAAAGGTATGATCTCTGCTCAACAATTATACCCATCAAGAGCAGATTCTCATATTACTCCACATGAATTCATCTCCCAAAATAATAAGAACTTTCTATGTAAAGCCCCTAGTTCTACAAAAACAAAGGTATCCTTCAGTGATTTTTCAAATGGAAGCGCATCAAAATAATTAATAACTATGTGTACCTTCAGTCTTCAGTACTATCAATTCACAGGAAGCTTGTCCGCTGTTATACTGAGTTTTTATTTCTTTCTGTACAAAAGACACAAAGAGAAGAATAACTTACTGCATGGAGGAGGAGGAGGGTCACAAAGACAAAGACTTGACAGAATCAGATCATTTTGGTGAAATTTTGATGCTGGCAGCATGGGATATTCTCTGAATCCTTCTAACAGCAAATTGTTCAATGGTGGGCATAGTTCATAGTTCCTCAAGTTACTATCAACTCCTGTTTTACTTAAGTACTGTCCTTATTTACCATCTTGTGAAATCAATTATATCCTCTGTGCTTGGTACCATTGCTGCTAGAGAAAAAGGTGTGTGTGTTTAAACTGATTTAGTCTTTAGTCTTTGTGTGTGTGTGTGTTAGAGGTAGAAGGAAATGGTCCACCGGTCTGTTGCTAATGGTTAAAGTTTATCCATCACATATAAAAGCGTTATTGGTACACAACTAGCCCATCATTTTGGAAAAATAACTGGTCCACTTTGCCACTTTTGAGGCAAAGGTCATGAAATCTGGGGAGAATTTATTCTGTTTATTTATGAAACATTCTATTGTTCATGGTAGAGAACCTATTTCTGGGCAGGAAATGTTAGACTTCCGCCATAAGGAAACAGCACATCCTTGGAGTTCCCCTACAGATAGATCAGAAGCAAAGTTCATCTACAGATTTATCATAGGTGAAATAAATTGGGCTTAACCTGCTAAGTCTACCTTAAAGATGAAGGCATCAATCACCTGTTTCTTAATACCAAACATAAAGACTTCTAACTCACTGGTAAATAGCATGTCAAAGATTCCACATTTGGTATCTGGCATCTCTGGGTAAGGCTTGGAAGGACTTCCTGCCAATCAGTTTTGGCTATATACTTAGGCTGAAAATAGTTGAGATGCAGCATGATCTGAATCAGGACTGTAAGAAATTGTCTACTGCTATGTATATCTTTGCCATGAATCAAAGTAATGCTCCCTTTAATTGTGACAGACTGAAGCATCACACAACATCTCATAGCTGTGACATGGCACTGAGTATCCTTAGTTTCCCTCACCAGTTATCATTTCATCCATAGATAAATCTGTATTGTTTCTCCAAGATGCAAATACATTGTTTAAAATGTATGTTGTTGTTGTTTTTTTAAAAAAATGGAGACACATGAAACAAAAAACACTGCCTGCATCAGGTCGAAGCAGATTACAACAATAGATCTCATTCTACCTTTAACTATATATGTTCATTTTGTACCATTCACCTTGTACATATAGCTGAGTTGCTTTTCTCCATATTGCCTATCCATCATCTCTCAGATGCCATGAAAAACCCATAACTTTATTAACATATTGTTGGAGGCCAAAAGAACTGCACACAGAAGATTTGCAATAATACTCACAAGAAAGATATATATCGGTTTGGAGAAGATGGATTGATTATATTGAGTTTAAATATGGAACAAAAAAATATCATTTGGTTTTTGAATGAATTTTTGAGTATTATTTTTGTTTAAAAGTTATAATGTTATTTAGTTTTATTTTTAATATTTAAAATTATGTTAATATTATGGTATTTAATAATTGTATATTTGTTTTAAGAGAGTTAAAGGAAGTTATAGATTTGTTAGATTAATAGTTGATTTATGTTAGTTAGATTATGATTATTTTATTGTTAATCCTGTGATTGGGAAGTGAGGGGGGGAGGGATGGAGGGTTGGGTTTGGGGGAGGGAGGGATTTATATTGTAAAATTTTATAAAATTTTCAATTAAAAAAAAAAGATTTGCAATAATATTGGACTGCTGCAATGTGCTCTATATGGAGCTGCCTCTGAAGACCATTCAGAAGCTTCAACTAGCGCAAAATGGCGTAAGTGGTGCTGGCTACTCAGCCCATGTATCACCACTACTTTGTGAACTGATTTATTTGCTGGCACCCAGTGCTTATGGGTGCAATTCAAAGTGCTGGTTGTCATTTTGAAAGCCCTTCATAGCTTGGGACCAGGCTGCTTGAAGAACTATCTTTCCCTGGTTGTTTCTACTTGTCTGATCCAGTTCTGCAAGATGGGTAATTTCTGGGTCCCAGTGGAACCCCATTTATTTATGTATTTATTAGATTTTTATCCCATTTTTATAAGTAACTCAAGGTGGCAAACATATGTAATCCTCTTTCTTCCTGTTTTTCCACAGCATCAATCCCGTGAGGTGAGTGGGCTGAGAGAGAGAGTGACTGACCTTAAGTCATCCAGTCAGCTTTCATGCCTAGGGCCCAAGAGGCATGTTCCAACTTCTGGAACATTCTTCTTTCGGATATTGGGATGCCCTGGAACTGGTTCTGGATCTGGGCCTGGGGCCCCAAGTGAGTGAAGGGCGCTGTGTCTTGGCTGTGCTAGTGACTGTTGATTGTGATATCTTCCTCAGCTGCTGTGTATTTTAATTTTTCTATTTGTGGTTGGAATTGTTAATTTATTTGAAGATTGGCTTGCTGCCCAGAGTCATTTATTGAGATGGGTGGCCATACAACTTGAATAAATGAATAAACAAACATTCCAATAGTACTGTACAAAAATAGAAAAAAAAGAAAAAATAAAAGAAAGAAAGAAAGAAAGAAAGAAAGAAAGAAAGAAAGAAAGAAAGAAAGTTCAGTGTCATTAAACCACATAAGAATCAAACCCAGGCCCTTTTATTGGCAATTGCAATCAAACAAACGTTTGCTACATGTGGAAAAAATTGCAAGAATAAAGAAACTAATTTCAGTTTCAGACCAGCCTGCACAGTAAGCAGTGAAGTTATGAGCTCAGTACACCACGCAAGACACAGTTGGTCCTCAAATTATGACTGGTCACTTAGCAACCGTTCAAACTTATAATGGACCTATCTGAAGGCTGCTTACAATTTGGATTCAAAATATCAACAATTGGGCCCTCTCAGGATCATGTGACCAAATTCAGCAACCATTTGGGTTTTGCTGAAAACTGGCATTTACTTCCAGTTTACAGCAAAACCACACTCGTAGCATACCATTGGTTTGTTCAACTACTGCAACATTTGCTTAACAACCGCATTGGCCACTTTATGACCATGGCATTCATTTAATGATGCTGCAAAAAGGTCATAAACCTTTTACGATTGTCACGACTTACAAAGACTACTTGACAAAGATTACCTGTTCATTGACACATGGTTTAACACAGTGTTTCTCAACCTCAGCCACTCTGCTGGCTAGGGAATTCTGGGAGTTGAAGTTCACCCATCTTAAAGTCACTGAGATTGAGAAATACTGGTCTACTGATTTAATTGCAGAGTTGGAATAGATGCAGAAACATTCTGAATAACAGATGCAATTAAATGGGCTACAATGAACTTGATCATTGTCCTTCCTATTCTGGGGTCACATTGTGAAACCTAGAGAGTTAAAAAAAAGAGCCTTGCACATCTGAAAACACACAAACATGGATTGTAACACCCACCCTCGTATTCCCTTTAGTGGGCTAGGAAATGTATTCAGCTTCTCTTTATTTTGCTTTCTGCTTTGTGTCCTTGCAGCTGGCTCCATCCTTTACCTTAGCTGAGCTGAGAAAATTGGGGCCCCAAACTCCCTTAAGGAGTGTCTGGGAAGGAACAGCTGGAAAACATGAAGGAGGCTTAAGAAACTGACAAACAAGGAACAAGAGTTTGGCACCACACTCCACTGAATCGGGGTGCAACCTACACTTTCCAACAGTTGTGCCAGATGCCTCCCCTTAACCCAAACGTAACACCCGATATGCCCATGATTTCCTGGAGCAGCTGGGTGGCCAATCACAACACACAGCTGGGCAATTGGGTGAAGCTGAGCTGGTGACTGAACCATAATTTTCTGCTTTTTATGTCCAGCTCTAGAGGTTAAAATCAGGGTGCAGAGTGAGTGCACTGTTCTTCAGAAGACCATAAATAACCACTGGTTATTAGGCAGAATCTCAGTCCTAATAATTCCTCCAAATATTTGGCACTCACCCGTATCCAGCAGAGGCTACAGTTCAAACAGTGATATCATCAGTTCAGGAATGCTTTGTTAGAGCATCCCCTGTTTTTACCATCTCCTTAAACTTTGCTACTGTCAGAGTTTCCATCTCAGTCTCATTTTAAGTAACAGTGTATATAAAAACTGCTTCCATTTTGCAACCAACTAACGGTACCACCTTTGCTGCCCAGGAAAGGAAGAACACTTGTGCAAAATACTTTCAAGAAGATGCCAGTTAGGAAAGACTTAATTTAAAACATAATGATGGTGGGGAGGGGGAAACACAGGCAAAGCTGGGTACTGCTTATTCTGTACATGACAAGTGATAATTCCTTAAAGGCTCTTTCCCTACCAAGTTTTATTTTTCTTTGTGGACCACTGTGAAGTTACTGTAGTGTAGGAGGTTACAAGGCGAATTGAGACACAGACTTACTCTATAGATAGTCCTCAATTTATGACCGTAACTGATCCCCAAACTTCCATTGCTAAGAGAGTTTTGCCCCATTTTATGACCTTTCTTGCCACAATTGTTAAGTGAATCGCTGCATGGTTGTTAAGTGAATGTGGCTTCCCCATTGATGTTACTTGTCAGGTCACAAAAAGTGATCACATGTCCCCAGGACACTGCAATCATCATAAATACATGCCAGTTGCCAAGTGTCCAAATTTTGATCACATGATCATGGGGATGCTGCAATGGTTGTAAGTGTGAAAAACTATAGGAATGTGACTAGAAGACCTCCAAGGTTCCTTCCAGCTCTATTCTATTCTATTCTATTCTATTCTATTCTATTCCACTTTTTTCCAGTGCCATTGAAACTTTGAATGGTCACAAAAACAATGGTTATAAGTCAAGACTTTGCAGCATTATGTTTGCTGTGTTATGTCTGCTGATATCAAAAGGTAGCATCCAACTTCAGGCGGCAATGAAATGACATTATTTCAGTATACAGGGTAGATGTCAAATAATTTTGCTAGGCCAGTTGTGGGTCTTTAATGCTTTATATAACACAATCTTTTATTTAATCTTCTGTAATCATGGCACCACCTCCTGGACTTATGGCTGGCTAAAGCACAATCAAATTCAACCAAGAGGCCAGGACAAATTTTCATGCTTTATGTGCTTTTCTGCCAACTTGAAGATGGGTGGAATACATGTAAGGAAATGACCTAAGTGTTGCAACAATATTTAACAGACTAGGAAAAGATGGAGCTCTACATCCAATGTAAACATCTGAGTTTGCCATGAAATTACATTCAGCAGAGAACTACAATGTAACCACCTCTTAGATGTCTCTAGGCATTGTGTACTGAATATTTCTGAACATGAATTTCACTCATCCTTCCTCCGGATGTATCTGAAACCATAACTCACATCACTTTCAGCCCCCCAATGGCTGGCTGACACTTTCAGGAATCGTATCTGGACAGACAGCTAAAGTTGAGAAAACCAAATCATGTCATTCACCTATTATATTTACAACCGTAAGCATGCGGTTTTTAAGAGGTACTTGATTTAGGTCTAAAATTCCTAATCTGTAAAATAGTCCTTGGTGTTAAAGCTGTAAAACAGGTATTTGGCTACTTGGACTTTTATATATTCATATCAACTAATTCTCAGCC